TTTACAATCTTCCAAAGCCCTCATTAATTCCAATTCTCGTTTACACAGTCTTTAAGGCAGCATATCCCTCATTTAATACGAACACACAGCCATTGAGTGTCACGGTTTTGTACAGGCAAATCAAGAATAATGTTCTAAGGCTCGGTGTCTTGACAAGTGAAATGAAGACTCCATGAAGATATCTCTGTGGGTGAGTCACTTCCTCCAAGGGAATGGAGCCTGACTAGACAGTCTAGGAAAAATATGAATATTTACAAAAGGTTTTCTGCTAAAGCTTGATTAAAGACATACATTTGAAAAAAGCATTTGCTGTTTTTCTTTTAGGTTAATTTCATCTTTAACTAATGTACAAATGAATCAAGAAAAAAACCCCAGAGAAATATATTGTAAGCACCATGCTTCATTACCTTTTTTAACTATTTTGTTACACTGGACCTAGTCTTAATATAAGGGCTCTTGAGAAATGTATCACAGGACTACTGTCTCCTTTATTATTCCTCATGGGCACATGCATATGCTATGCATGCATGTAAATGCATGTTCACATGTGTAGGCACCAATATGTGAAGATATGCATACATGTATATGCATATGTGTGTGGCGGCCTCATGCTGATATTGGGAATATTCCTCTATCTCTCTTCCCCTTTATTCTTTGAGGCAGTGTCTCTCAGTCAAATCTAGAAGTAACAGATAGGGCTAGTGTCCATAGCCAGCTGGATCCCCTGTTTTGACTTTTCTAGGCTGGACTTGCAGGGACTTGATTAATGGTGTGCCCACCCGATATTTGCATGAAGTCTGGGGCTCTAAACTCTAGTCCTCTTGATTACACAGCAAGCACTTTAATTACTGAGCCTTCTCCACAGTCCATCTTATCCACCTTGTTAAATGTGAGATTAATATATATCAAGACGTTCTGTCCATGATATCCTTGCTGACATTGAATAGAAAGCACTAACACTTATGGGGATATTCATACCTTGAATAAAATGTTTGAAATCTTAGACTGATTATGCATTTTAGAAATGTATACATTCAACACATTTTAGGTCAAATGATTTAGTCTATTATAACTGAGATCTAAACAGCTGACTGAGAAATACAATGTCCTGCCCACTGACTGAGATTTGTGGACTATCCAAATGATATCATTGACTTGATAACAAATTTCCTGCCTTGCTCCTTGATGCTTGAATATATGACATAAGAGCAGCAACTACTTTGAATCGATTCCCATTTCATTCCTGTATAACCCCTACACTAAATATTGGGTATTAATGTAGATGAAAGCAGGAATGACATATGACCAGTAATAGTTCTGAGTTACCGCACCTGGTAGTACAGATGTTAATGTGGTTGTTCATTTGTGTGGATCACTGTAAGTATGTAGCATATGTGAAACAGGTGAAGTCTGACCCGTGCCCTCTCACCCTGATGTTATTACCCTTTCTTGTAAATCCCAGCCCCTCCCATTTCCAGAAATGTGGGGTCATTTGCCAAACTAGCCTATTTCTAGTACAGATATAAAGTTGCCTACTGATGCTGTGGAGGAAGTTAGTGAGTATTAATTTTCCTTAGTATATTTTTTATGAAGCTTGAGAGCCCTGTACAAAAGCATCTAAAATGGTTGCAAGTCAGTTTAAGAAAATAAAGGAACATAAAACTTTATAGATGTAAGCAGTAAACTGCATTTTTTAAGTTATCTAAGGTTGAGATATCTAAATATATTTGTTATATAATCTTCAGGAATTTGAAGTATACCTAATAATTTTGACTTTGCCTGATAATGAGGTTATTTGCACAGGTCATGTGACCATTTCTTGATCCTTCTGCTTGCTGTTAGTATGCTTTTTCAAAGTCATCTTTATTCATGCTGAAAGTGGTATCTCTGAAGTAACCTGTTCATGTCAATTGAGAAAAAACTAAATATTCCCCACTGTCCTAAGGCTCCCTGAGAAGCAAAGCAGTGATGCCCCCAGAGAATTTAACTGCATGGAATATACTGATTAGATAGTAAATATTTTAGCATGTGGTTAAATGTGTAGTACAATCTTTGCTACAGTGCTAATGCTAAAAGTAACCAGCTAAGGTAACTGCTATGAAAATAAACTATTCCCTGTCAAAGTTATTTAAACAAGTGGCAAAGAGAATAACAAAATTTAAAGTCTCATTTGCATTATAACAATAATAGCAAAACTAAAACATCATGATGATTCTCCTTCTTCACAAATGATAAAGGAAATGGTGTTCGGGATGATAGTGCTGTCTTCAAAGCATACATAAAGAAAATATTTTAATTTAAGAAATTGCCTAGAGCAAAATAGGGTGATAATTGTGATGGGCTTTTTTTTTTTAAAAGAAAGCCATATAAAACAAATGCCTTCTACCAAACAAAGAAAAATACTCCAAACATATATGTACACATATAAAAAATATTAAATTTAAAATGAATAACCTTAATATTGAAATATCTTTTAGCTTGCTAGAATGATAGTCTTTTCCTCATTAGACAGAATTTCAAGGCAAGAATGACTGAATTAATAAAATGTGGTCTAGACCTTGAGTCAAATGGTCCTTATTCCACTGTGTCCAGATATAATTTAGTTGATCACTATCCACAGCTTGGGTATGCATCTCCAGCACTTTTTTTTCTTTAAGTTACCAATACATTAAAAACATATTTTTTCTTTTTTCATCTTACTTAGTATATTATCATATTGCATCATGGGAAGAAAAATGAAATCAAACCCTGAGCAAAAGAAGACAAAACAATACTAGTTATCTGCACTACAAACCTACATTTACATCTTAAAGGGGTCTGCGCCAAGGGACAACAAATGGCCTCGCCTTGCCATATCTTACTGAAGAGCTTTGGAAGGTTTTCATTTGCCTGTATCATCTTTCATGCTTTTTCCTCTCTTTTGCCTCCAGTACAACACACACACACACACACACACACACACACACACACACACACACACACTCACTTCTCCTACAGACTGCAGTAGAAGCTTCCACAGTTGCACAGTTGTGTCCTGTTTATAAGCCTCACAGACGTCTGCCAGTGCCTCATAGGAAATGCTGATGGAGAAAGGGTTTATCTACTTTCCATCCAAAATATGTGAGCCATTAAGGACATTATAAAAAGCAACAACAATATACTCTGCTTTTATTCCGAGCCTTTCCCTTAGTGATTATTAAAAGGATGATATTTTTAGCTGAAGAAAGCAAAATGCATCTGCAGCAGCTGGTTTCCAAGGAAACGGAATAATTTAAAACCATGTGGAACTCTGCTCTCTAATTTTCATCAATCCCCTTTCATTCCTAGAGGTAGCTTTGTTCAGAATTTATAATTCCTTTTTTAAAAATGTAGCTGCATCGACGTATTGTCTGCAACACATTCCAGTAGCTGAATATTTATTTAGTCTTGCATATCACCTTAAGTTCCATGGGAGTGGGAAACTTGAATTAATTGCAAATACCATCTTGTTTGAAAAATAAAAAAACTACTTTAAAAACCATTAACAATTTAAAAATATAGAAAAATCTTAGCATTGTGTCGTCATTTTTGAAATTCAGAAATGGTTCAAAGCAAACCATAGAAGAGACCAACATAACACCTGAATGTATATAGACATTAAGTATATTTAGTATGTTTAGAAAGTTCAAAATAGGTGTTCATCAACTTAATTAATCTGTATTCAATATCCAACAGTGTTTCTGTCCCTTTTAATTTCTTAAGAATTGCTACGTTTGTATCACCTTAGTCAAAGGTTTGCATCACCCACCTTCCAAATCGAAGCAAACACAAGACAAATTTTTTTAGAAATTATAATCACTCTTGTTAGTTTTTTAACTCATTCAAAGGCATAAAAAATACATATGAATTATTTACATCACTATTATGCTTTTGTTTTATTTCAGTCAACAGGTATTAATTGGAAGCCAATGTGTCCACGACTGTATTATTTTCTTAAGAGCTCAAAAGTAATGAGATCCTTTCCACCCTAAGTGGTCTTATAAATTAAAATCAACAGAGGAGTTAGTGTTGTAGAATAAAATTACTTTCCTGTCTTTATCACTATAAATACGTCATTTATTCCACACTGTTAAAAATCTTCCCTGATTTTCCTCAAAGAAAATAAAACATAAAGTCAGGCATTGTAATCGACTAGAAGAGTCAAAACTTGAGGAATATTTTAAAAAATGACTGTCATGAGGCTATCACTATCAATATGTGTTGGAATGTCTTAACCTTGACGTATCTGATTCATAAATGAAACTTCTCTGTCAGACACTACTTTTCGCAACAAAGTCTCATCCTTCCCAATTAGACCTCTGTGCTTTTGAAGTGAAAACAGTCCCGCGCGTGTTGACAGCTATCTATTGCTGGTTGCTTCATCGCCACACCACAATTAAGCTTCAAATCTGCTGACTAAAACGCTGCGGCTACTCAGGACATGAGATGCATCGAGAGACGCTTACAGGCACACAGACCATTAGACCCAAGTCAAGACTGAAAGAAACTGCAAGCTGAAAAACAATTTTCATAAGCTCCTTACTGGATGGTAAACATAAAGACCCCACACTAAATCCTTTACGTTCAGAGAAGGCTCCATTTTCTCAGGACCTGTGGAATCTATGAAGCTTTTCGCATGCCTCCTTGGGTTTCCATGAACACACGCCTTGGTAAAAACACACAAAGACACAGGATTTTACCCGTCGGCTTTGCTCAGTACCGTTTGCTTAGATGGCTATCTGGAAGAAGACATGCCTTTGGTGTTTATGTGCGCTTTCGTGTTTAAATCAGAAAAGGGTTTTGCAGCCACAACGAACTGCTCTTCAAGGCTGCCTGGAGTCAAGCGGAGGACCGCTTTCTCCAAGCGCCTTCAGGATTCCAGCACCCTAAAGAATGTTTCTACTAAAACTGAGCATTTCCTTAAAAATAAAAAAAAGGAAATTCTCTTTTCTCCGTTTTAGTATTAATATTTTTGCTCTTACCTGTAAATATGGTCTCTGTACTTGGGCTCCGGCAGAACACACTGAGAATTCTGAGTTCACTCCGCCCTCGAGCATCCATCAGGCCGCAGCCAACCAATAACAAAAGCCAGATCCTGGCGTCCTCCCGCTCTTGCTGCCTGCCTGCTCCCAGTCCTTGCTCCCTCCCACCCTGAGCTTTTAGAGGACAAATCCCTGCAGCAGAGGGAGGAAGGAAAAAAGAAATATGGAGAGATGAACAGAGAAGAAAGATTTCACAGAACAGCCTACTGGAGTCAAAAGTCTTGTTTAGGATGTAGGAAAACGGGGTTAATCTCTGCCTCGCCCATCACAAATCAAATCAAACACTCGAGGAAAGCCTAGATAAAATGCCTGTTTCCCCTTCATCCCATTGATTTTTTTCCTTCAGTGGAAAAAATACACACCTTCACAGCGTACATTTTGAAATATAGTTAGAGGAGGGAGACAAGCCATCAATATTACCTTTTCAAAACGATCCAATGGAAATGAATCAAACCATGACTCTCCTACTGTTGGCATGACAACCTCTGCTTGGCAGCGTTTCTGTTCACAGTTTGGGGGCCAGATCAGCACAGTATACATTTTCACTCAGAGTGGAAGAATATTCAAATATTTTAGAGTTGTGTGGTTTTCACGACTTCAGATTCTTTAGATACCAGCATCAATTTGTGAATAATGGAGCTTGTTAAAGATTAAAGAGGCATCAGCCACTTGGTTGCTAAGTCTCTAAGTGACTAATTGGGCTCTAATTTTGCTCTAATAACCTTGGGCAAAATCATTTCACTTCTGAACTAAAAGGCATAGCATGAATAAAAGAACAATTGAGGAAAACATCAAATTAGATTTATTTAAGACAGCCAAGCAAATTCATATGCAGCTTCAAGGGGGAAAACCGCTTTAAATAAAGTCTCACTGTGTAGCCAGCCATGGCTAGCCTGGAACTCACCAAGTAGAATAGGTTGGCCTTAAACCTAAAGAGACTTGCCTGCCTCTGGCCCCTGAGTGCTGGGAATAAAGGCAAGTGACATCACATCTAGCAAAGTAATCCAATTAAAGAAACAAAAGCTAATAAAACAAACCAGTATTCTCTACATTTAAAATGCAACTAACTGCACCAGGGAGATGACTCAGTGGGCAAAGGACCTTGCCACCAAGCCTGAACAACCGGAGTCCAATCTCTGGGTCCTACATTATGGAAAGAGAGAACCAGCTCTTGAAAGTTGTCCTCTGTACCAGTGCCATGGCATGTACACACACACACACACACACACACACACACACACACACACACCTGTAAATAACAATGCATCTTTAAAGAACCATTAGTGCATGTCTTCCCAAGGAGACTTTCTTTGAATGTCTCATCAGATAACCTCCATCAGCAGTGAGTTTTAAGATTTGTGTGAAGTGTGTGTGTGTGTGTGTGTGTGTGTGTGTGTGTGTGTGTCCAGAGGCTCTAAGAGGAATTCCCTAGAGCTCAACTTCCATGTTGTTAGCTTCCTGCTGTGGTGGGTGCTGAGGACTGAACTGTAGCGCTGTAGAAGAGCAGCAAACTTTTGTTTCTTTTGTTTTATTGTTGTTGTTTTCGTTTTTTGGAGAAAGGGTTTCTCTGTGTACTTTAGTGTGCCCTGGAACTTGCTTTGTAGACCAGCTGTCCTTGAACTCACAGAGATCCACCTGCTTCTGCCTTCCAAGTGCCGGGATTAAAGGCGTGCATTACTCAACTGACCAGCCATCTTTCCATCCCTCAGTCTAGTGGGTTTTCTGTCAGTGAGAAGCTGCTGTCTCCATCACGGAGGAATGGAGACATCGATGGGTTTGTTCTGCACTCTCTTAGTTCAGTATCTTTATGGGAATAAGACCAAGGGGAGGAAGAAGAAAGAAATGGGAGTATTCATGATTTTTGGAAATAACTGCTCTGAGGACAGCCCTTGCATAGTACAAATAACTGTACAGAGGACAAAGGGAGTGGCAGGTGATTTAACTCACAACAGAATTTACATAGAATTGCTCTGGGGCTGGTGGGTTAGTCCAGTGTATGAAGAGAATTCATGAAAAGAAGCTGTGTCTGCAAAGGCTAATTGGCTGATCGTAACTTCAATCATATAGAAAGGCTGAAATGTTACAAATTCAGAGCCACATTATCTTGGGACACCTTTAGCTCCCTTAAGTGCTATTTATTACCTTCCTTTATATAAAACCTAGCATTATTTGTAATCATCAAGTAAATCCTTTGGACTGGATGAACATATCCCTTGATTCTACCAACCAAAGGGCTAAGAATGCTGTCAGACAGAATCTAAGGCTGTAGCCGAGTTTCCTCCAGTTTGTTGTAACCCACCATCCACTGTTGTATTTGAAAAGTATATAATTTTATAGTCTTCTTTTCCTATTTCTATAAAAAGCTTATGAACTCGGCTACTTCATTGTTTTCCTAGGCCATGGGCATATTTGGTTCCAAAATATGCCATGTCTTGTACTCTTGTATTTCTTTCATTAATAAGTACTTGTACAGTATCTATGAGGCCCTACAACCTTTAGGTTTAAATACATACATATATATATATACATACATATGTATATATATATATACTTATTTTTACTTTGATTGCATGATTATCTGAAGTAGGTTTGTGAGATTTTTCTTATGATTATGTTACAGGAACTTGGGTAATATTTTTGTGACTCCCCCTAGGTGATACTGGGGAAGCTGGGGTCCCTTCTTGGGACTCCTAGTAATGGGAGACTCAGAGCCTGAAATAGCCATCTTCTGTAACCAGGTAAGGCTTCTAGAGGAAGAATTGGAACACCAACCCAGTCACAAAATCTTTGACCTACAATTTGTTCCTGGGTAAAGGTGTTGTATAATTTATGGGTGTGGCCAGCCAGTGCTTGGTCCAAATTGAGACTCATACCCCTTGAGGGAGTGCAATCCTGACACTGCCTGTATTGCTAGGAACCAGAGATTGGATACCCTAAGAACGTATGATAAAACCAAACATGACAGGCAAAAAAATATCAATGATATGATTTCTAATGATACTACACTACACTCCTAGCTGGGAGCCTAGCATAATCATTTTCAGAGATTAAAACAAAAAGTTTTGTTTTCTTATTAAAAACAAAATTTAAATTGACACAAACAGAAGTTTGAGGAAAATTTGATAAGGTTTTAAAAGAAAGAAACAAAATGCCCAAGCCAGAAAAACTGTAGATCTCACCAGCTGCACATCCAGAGGAGAATGGTGGGGGGAGAGGGAAGAGCCATGCTGTCTGAGCTAAGCAGCCACTGAGGTCAGGTGTGTGGCAGGCAGCAAGCTGAGGGAGGAAGGGTGGTTTTCTTAACAGACAGTGAAGCCTAAAGTGTTAGGGAAGCCTGAAAGTGTTTGGAGAAGCATGTTACAGAAGAAATAAAGGAAGTGGTGGTGGTGGCAGAGATGGTATTCACCTTTATTCCCAGCATTCGGAGACAGAGGCAGGTGGATCTTTGAGGTCAAGGCCGGCCTGATCTACAGAGTAAGTCCCAGGAAAGTCAGAGCTATACAGAGAAACCCTGTCTTGAAAAAGAGAACAAGAAGGAGGAAGAGGAGGAGGAGGAGAGGGAGGAGGAGAAGAAGAGATATAAAGGAAAAGGAAGTTATGCTTTTCTGAGTAACTCAGAGAGAGAAGTGGGCAGACTCTAAAGCTCTGTGAGAGATGGCAGTAAGGGGTTCAAATTCAGAAAAGGAAAAGTGTAGCATCTCATTAAAGGTATAATTATTCTACTTATCTCTTTAGGTTGGTTTAAACAGAACGCACCTTCGGGGCTGGGTGTGTTTAGAGGTGGAGCCGCCCTTCAGCCAAATGTTTCACCGATTCAGTTGGAATGTTAGTTTTCCAAGCAGCCACAGCCCAGAGAGTCTATGCTCTTGACAACAAAGACTGTTCCCTTAATGAGGAGTGTTAAACTAACCTTTATTTTCACACCCCAAGTTCCTCTATAGAGGAGGATGTTTTCACAGAAACTGTGGTCTAGTTGCCAGGAAACGCTAGAGAAATCCTTAGGATACACAGCATTTCCTAAAGTGGTGGCTGCAGACACCTGCATCACAATCACTGCCGAGTGTTTTAAAGCTGGGCACTCCAAGGGCCTCACCCAGACTTAATGAATCTGCATTTGAAGGGGCTGTGCCTCACCACTTTTAGCAAGCTCTCTTGGTAATTGTGAGGTGAGCTATTATAACCAGGAAGTCAAAGATTAGTGTTCCCTAGATGCAAACTGTCAGAGGATGGTTCCTTTCCTGTTGAACTCATGGGCAGGTCTGTGTAGATCTCATTTGGAAATTGTCAGCATGTATTGAAAATCACAGCAATGAAAGTGGATGAGTAGGCTGATGGGTTAACTCCTAAAACTACTAACTGATAGTGGAAATCCACCTACTTAAAAATAAATGGTAAAGGCCTAAATAGACATTTCTTCTAAGAAGACATAAAAATGACCAATAATATTTAGGAAACTGTTCAGCATCACTAATTGTCAGAGAAATGTCATCCAAAATGTTTATGAGATTTACCTCACAGCCAGCAGGGTGTCTTAATCAATTTTCCATCTTGTGACCAAACACCTGAGATACATCAACTTCAAAAGATGAAAATACATGTGAACCAAAGATCTTAAATGGAAACTACAATTTATAATGAACTTTCTTAAAATCTCTTTAACTGCCGGGTGTTGGTGGCGAACACCTTTAATCCCGACACTCAGGAGGCAGAGGCAGGTGGATCTCTTAGAGTTCAAGACCAGCCTGATCTATAAAGTGAGTTCCAGGACAGGCTCCAAAGCCAGGGAAACCCTGTCTTGAGAAACCAAAAAAAAGTTTCTTTAACTGATAGAACTAATGGTTGTAGAGGCTGGAATGTTGCAAGTTCAAGTCTATTACATTTATTTCAGTCAACCTTTGACCTCCTTGATACTCAACTCTTGCCCAAGTCTGATTGAGCGTCCTTCTACGATGTGAAACCTTTTGGAGCGCACCAATTTATCAGACTATTAGCTTCCTCCAACCCAGTGCTAAGACTGTTCTCCACTTTGCTGATG